TATCAAAACAAGCTAACTGTTTCAAATAACCCATTCTTAATTGACACTTTTCATAGCTTATTTAGCACGTCCATCCCTATTATATTCTCTTTTTATCATTTATAATGGAAAATATATGCTCCAAGAATGCAATATAAATGTTTTTATTTACATTCAGGTTCATTTAACAATGAGTATATCAAATGTAGATACAATGGCCCGCTTCATTGACGAAAAGTTTGCTCATGCATGCAGCTTCGGGTGCATAAGGAGGCCGTTTGGAGAAGGATAAACTGGCAGGCCGTATACTATCACTGACTTGCCTATCAGATTTGGTAGCTTGCAGGCAGATAGTGCTCTGAAAATACAAGAACCAATTGTGCGATTGGAGGAAAATGCAGGATTTTGTGAGACTTTCGTGGTCTCTCTGAGCTCCGCAGAATAAGGTTCGCTTGTATTGATTTTAGTGCAAAGCCAATGGGTAATGAAGCGCACTGTGAATCGATCCATGTCCTTATCGGTGACATCCCAAAGAAGGCCCAAAACAAAGGGACTGAATCAAAAATAAAAGAAAAAGAATAATTATATATGGAAGATACCTGAAAATATTTACTGTAGTGGAAACAGTCTAAAATCCCGGATGGGGCAATCAATAGCCGCTCATTCAGCTTTGAAGCAGACAGCTTGCGCATAAAAAATAGACGAAGTTAATTAAAAACAGAGTGAGTTTCCAAATGTATGACTGGGTCACCATACTATAAGTCCGGCAAAATATGAATTAATACTTTACTAAGCAGTCGACTTTTGGCACAGCAAGCTAGAGAAATTGTCAATAACACTAGATATCGTGGGTTGAGTCCAAATAATACAGAACTTACCATCCAGCGAAAAGATGATTAAAGGTGGATGTATATGGTTCGTGACGGCCTTCCCAACGAGGACGCCCAGAACTGCATCCAAAGATCAGAGCTGCCGCACGGGCACCAAGCCCCTGGTTGAATGCGTGCAGTAAAAATCGGGAACCATTGCCGTGACCGAGATACCTATATAGTTTAAAGATAACGATAACAAAGCGAATAAATCTAGCCAGTTAAGGAAAACTCGACAAGCTTCTCAATTAGGCCTAGGATCTAGCATATTTTGTATCTACTTTTCGGCCTCTTATTTGTCTGGTGGTTTAACATAAGACTTACATGATAATAAACCATTCTAATATCAAGCAACCAAAAGCATGTCTTCATTTAAACTATATTTGCATCTAGCTCCAACGATATCAGTGTTAGTATCAAGTCAGTCTCGCTACATCTGCACAAAAGAAGCATCTGGAAGTATGTGTAGCTCTCTCTAACTCAATGGTATCCTGAGTTCAATTCTCGCGTTAACGGGAGATAAAGAAATCTAAATTTTAACTAAATCTAGCTTAACAGATAAACACACAAGCCTGGTGTAGATGGAGTTTACGTCTGCAAGAGCCCTAGAAAAACATAGCAAAAATACAAAGATATTTTCGCATGGTATTTGTGCGACGAATCTCGAGAAAGTTAATGCTGTCCAAATGATTCCTACAATACCTGAGAATGGTGCCAATAGTAAGGGTTGAGTCATGATTCGACCGGAGTTAGTTTAAAAAGATAAAATCAGTAATAAACCCAATGACAAGCAAGTTGCCTTAAAAAGAGTTATCTTAAGGTTGTATTTACATTACCACAATGAGAATTCAGTCATACTTTATGCTCTTCTAGAAGTAGGGTGAAATGTATTCACCCCATTTTGTTTTAGGTGATAAAGGACTGATCGTTAAATTTGCCCACAATGATCTGAGTAGAGCTGAAATTTCCATATATTTTCATATAGCCTTGTGTTATTCTCACCCAGGGTGGACTGCAGTTCCGACTTCAACTAGGTCTTATCAACATCCCCAGCAGGACCCAAACAATGACACTAAAGCATTTAATTTCAAAACTTTAAGCACTAGCCACGAGTCCCTTTAGGTCACAGGTCAGATGTGGGGGTGTTGACAATACCTAGATGAGTATGAAATTGCAGTCCACCATGGATGAGAACACCATTTGGAAAAACAAGACTGTGCGTCAGCTCCATTGAAATCACTGATGGAAAAATCAACTATTAGTCTTTCATCACCTTAAATGGAATACGGTGTATACATCTCACATTTTATGCTGTCAGTATCATCTAATTATCTATATAATTGGCAGTTA